CCATATGGGAAACACTGCAAACCGCTCATGAGGGAACAACGCAAGTCAAGAAGTCTAAAATTGATAAATTGAAAAGGCAATATGAGCTGTTCAGGATGGCAGAAGGGGAGACCATTCAAGACATGCGCACCAGGTTCACCTCCATCATTAATGAGATGTGCTCTTTAGGAGAGATAGTGCCTAATGGAAAGGCAGTAAGGAAACTCTTGAGTGTCCTTCCTGAAACTTGGGAAAGCAAAGTCGAGGCTATCACTGAAGCCCGCAACCTAGACTCACTGGCCATGGATGAGTTAATTGGTAATCTCATCACATACGAACTCAAGAAAAACCATGAAAAGGAAATTGGAGAAAAAAGAAAGGAAAGGAACCTGGTTCTAAAAGCTACTACATCAGATGATTTTGAAGATGAAAATATTGCCTTCATGACAAAAAGGTTCACCAAAATGCTAAAGAGAGGGCAAACCTTTCAAAAGAAAGCTTCTCAAAAACCATCTGAAAACACTAAAGACCAGGTTTGTCATAAGTGTGGGAGCCCAGATCACTTCATCAAATTCTGTCCACTTTGGGCCTTAGAACAGAAAAAGACAAACTTTGAGAAAGGCAAAGACATCAAAAAGGATAAGTTTGTCCCCTCAAACAGAAGAATGACAACTCAAGAGGCAGATATGTCAATGAAGAGGGCCTTTGCAGCAATGGGGAATTCATCTGATGAAGAGTCTGAGGGTGATGAGAAATAAAACTAGTCTCTTCTTGCACTAGAACAAGAAGATGATTATGACTTTCTTGCCCTTGTAGCAGTTGGAACCAAGGAAGAAAAGGAAACCTGCAGATCACAAGAAACCATACTAGCACTCATGGCTGGATCAGATTCTGAAGAAGATAAAGAAGAAGAAGATATGAATGAAAAGGTTAGTCTTCATCACATATAAGACAATCTTAGCTCATACTCAAAAAGGGAGCTAGAATCCCTACTCTACACTCTCATTGATGCATATAAAACCATAGACTCAAAAAGGAAATTGATAATGGAAGTCTATGCCTCACTAAGAGAAGAAAACAAGATTCTTGAAAAACAGAATCTTCATTTTTTATCCAAGAATACTGAACTAAGTAAAAACCTAGACTTGGTAACTAAAAGGAATGAAGCACTCTCCAAAGAGCTTCTTGTGACTAAAACTGAAGCAGAAAATGGAATGAGATGGACCAGGTCTTCCATACTGCTTGACAACATTCACAAGAATCGCACATCTTGAAAACATAGGATAGGTTTTGATAGATTAGCTCTCAAGTAAAAAATCCCAACATAGATTGTCTGTGTATGCAATGTGGGCTGGTAGGGCATAAAATCCATGATTGTCAAAGAAAACAAACTGCTCATAACAAAAACTTGAAGTCCTTGAGAAAACCTCATCATGAGAAACCCAATGAGCAAAACCAAATTCCTACAGTCAAATCTCTTCCTAGATGGGCCAGAAGAAATCTTATCCACCCATTCCCTAAGCATAAATCAAAGTGGATTTGGGTACCAAAATCTAATTCCCAAATTAAATTGTAGGGATCAGTGAAGAGGAAGCATCAACAATGGTACTTGGATAGTGCATGTTCCAGACATATGACTGGAGATAAAAGAAGCTTCCTCTCACTCAAGAACATCAAAGGAGGAAACGTTGCCTTTGGTAATGGTAAAAGTGGTGAAATTCAGGGAATTGGAAAGGTTGGATCAATGGATACTCATGCAATTGAGAATGTATATTATGTGAATGGCCTAAAACATAATCTTTTGAGCGTATCTCAAATATGTGATAAAGGAAACAACGTTCTCTTTACAGAAAAGGAATGCAGAGTAACAAACTTAGTGACTGGAAACCTGGTTTTACTAGGTAAGAGACACAAGAATGTGTATAAAGTCAAGATTGTTGACTCCAAGGAAGATACTCTTAAATGTCTAAGTGCAGTCTCAGATTGCTCCATGCTATGACACAAAAGAATGGGGCACATTAGCATGACAACTATAAACAAGCTCATATCTAAAGACCTGGTTAGGGGACTGCCAACCAAAAGTTTCAAGGACAACCAAGTATGTGGAACCTGCATTCAAGGAAAACATGTTAGGTCATCCTACAAAACAAAGTTGACAGTAAGTACTACCAAGCCACTAGAACTGCTTCACATGGATTTGTGTGGACCAATGCGTGTACAAAGCAGGGGTGGAAAAAGATATGGGTTTGTAATAGTTGATGACTACTCAAGATTCACTTGGACATTGTTTCTTGCAACAAAGGATGAGACATTCACTATGTTTGAAATCTTTGCAAAGCTGATTGAGAAGAAATTCAACAAAGATATAATCAGCATCAGATCTGATCATGGGCTGGAGTTTGAGAACTCACAATTCCTACAATTTTGTACTACAAATGGGATTGAGCATAACTTCTCAGCACCTAGAACGCCACAACAAAATGGTGTTGTTGAGAGGAAAAATAGATCACTGGAAGATATTGCAAGAACAATGTTAATCTCAAGCAAACTTCCAAAATTTTGTTGGGCTGAAGCAGTGAACACAGGATGCTATCTAATAAATAGATGTATGATCAGATCAGTGTTAAACAAAACACCATATGAGCTTGCTAAAAGGAAGAAAACCAAATCTAGCACATCTTAGGGCCTTTGGGTGTGTATGCTTCATACACAACAATGACAAAGACAATTTGGGAAAATTTGATGCCAAGAGTGATGAAGGAATTTTTCTAGGCTACTCATCACAAAGCAAGGCCTACAAGGTACTGAATAAAAGAACAAACCGTGTAGAAGAAAGTGTCCATGTTGTCTTTAATGAACATACTAGTGAAGTTGAAGGAAATTCAGAGGATGAACAAAATGAGGGAACCTGCTCCAAGCCATCAGATACAAAAACATGGGGAAAAAAACCGATACCCTCTGATAAAACATCTGAAATAGGAGATAAGTCTACTAATGAAACTGGTTCATCTGCACTCAATAACTAGTAAGTATTCCAACTCATAGTTGGAAACATCAAAGCTCTCACCCTATGCAAACATTCTTACTCCTCTTAACTCAGGCATATCTACAAGATCCAAATTACGTAGTATGTGTGCATTCTCTGCCTATGTGTCCCTGATTGAGCCTAAAAATATAAAGTAAGCATTGCTAGACTCTGATTGGATTGGTGCTATGCAAGAAGAACTCAACCAGTTTGAAAGAAGCAGAGTGTGGAACCTGGTTCTGAAACCCCAAAACAGGACAGTGATAGGAACTAGGTGGGTGTTTAGAAACAAGCTCGATGAGCAAGGTCAAATAGTGCGCAACAAAGCTAGGCTAGTTGTACAGGGATAAAACCAAGAAGAAGGTATAGACTATGATGAAACCTTTGAACCAGTAGCAAGAATTGAGGCAATTAGAATATTGGTCGCATATGCTACCCACATGGATTTCAAACTCTACAAAATGGATGTCAAAAGTGCCTTCTTAAATGGTTACCTACAAGAAGAGGTGTATGTAAAACAACCCCCAGGTTTTGAGAATACCATATATCCTGATCATGTATATAAACTGGACAAAACACTCTATGGGTTAAAACAAGCACCTAGAGCATGGTATGATCGATTGTCTACTTTCCTTCTCACACATGGATAAACAAGAGGAAAAATTGATAATACACTGTTTCTTCGAAAACAAGGTAAAGATCTGTTCATAGTCCAAGTATATGTAGATAACATCATATTTGGAGGAACCAATGACTCACTAGGAGTAGAATTTGCTCAACTAATGAATAGTGAGTTTGAGATGAGTATGATAGGAGAGTTGAACTTCTTTTAGGACTCCAAATTAAGCAAACTCAAGTTGGAACATCAATTCATCAACAAAAGTACATCAAGGAATTACTAAAGAAGTATGATATGAATGAAGCTAAGTCAAAAGACACCCCCATTGGGACAACAACAAAACTTGATAAAGATGAACCAGGTTCACCAGTCAATGACACTAGATATAGAGGTATGATTGGATCACTCCTATATCTCACTGCCAGCAGACCTGATATAGTGTTCAGTATTGGTCTATGTGCAAGGTTTCAGTCTTGTCCAAAGGAATCACATCTAAAAGCTGTCAAGAGATTCTTGAGATATTTGAAAGGCACAATGAACCTGGTTCTCTGGTATCCAACTGGTGACTCTTTTGATCTAAATGGATTTGCTGACGCCGATTATGCAGGACACATGGTTGATAGAAAAAGTACCTTTGGGATGGCACACTTTTTAGGACCATGTTTAATATCTTGGGCAACTAGAAAACAAAATTCAGTGGCTCTATCTACTGTAGAGGCTGAGTATGTTGCAGTTGCTTCATGTTGTACCCAACTTCTTTGGATAACAGCAGCTTAAAGACTTTGGTATAGAAACAGGTTGTATTCCTATTCTATGTGATAACACAAGTGCTATGAACATGGCCAAAAACCCAGTTCAACACAAGCGCACCAAACACATAGATGTTAGACATCACTTTCTTCGTGATAATGTTGGAAAAGGAAACATAGTAATGGAGTTCTGCAAAACTGAGAATCAAGTTGCTAACATTTTCACCAAGGCACTAGGAAGAGATTCATTTCAGAAAAATAGACTTGAGTTAGGGCTCATCTTTTTAGATTGAAATCTGTCCAACCAAGTTCTAAGGAGATATAAACAAGGTTCAGTCAAGTTGGTTCTACATTTTCTTTACATTTTTTTTAAAAAAGAAGAAGAATTAAAAAAAAAATTAGGAGAAAACAATCTCATCTTCTCTCTCCTATGTCACTTCTCTGAAAAGCAGGTGCAACCGTCACAGCAAACGTCTCCTCGATGTCAATCCCCCATAATTACTCAAACCCCTCGAATACAACATCAAAAACGTTCCCAATAAAGCACTCTATCTAAACAAGCAACCAACTTTCTCTCATCTTCATTCTTCAGAAAAACAAGAAAACGAAATCCCTTCCATCACCATGGTTAATCCACTCGTTTCTTACTCTGATGACGAAAGCTCATCTGATAGTGCATTTTCTCAGGGGGAAGAGAACCATTTGTTGATGTTGTACCTAATCTTGGGGAAATCCAACTCCCACCCAAACCACCTACACCCTCATCCAAATTAGATTTGTCTCCATCTCCACCACCAAAAGCTCCATCTCCACCACAAAAAACACCATCTCCACCACCAAAACCTACATCTCCACCACCAAAAGCTACATCTCCACCACCACACGTAACCTCTTCACCATCACCAGTTAAAAAAGCATCTTCACCTGTCGTTGCAGACTCCCCACCACCACCCATCATCGAATCTCCACCATCACCAGTCCAAGAAACCCCATTATCACCGGTCCAAGAAACCCCACTATCACCAAACCGAGAATCTCCCACAACCACTGTCCCAAATAACCCCCCTCCTTCCCCATCTCACCAAACCACTCCTCAAAATCCACCACCATCTCCAATCTATGATGATATTCTTTTGAGCTCCCTTCACCCTAAAAAACCAAGGCGGCCAAGAAAGCACATTGCAGTTAAACAGGTTCGTCCACACTGTCCAGTGACAAGGAGTGAGCATGTGGTCAAACCAACTGATGATGCAACATCTGGGGTGAAGCGTCTGCGATAGGGTAAGTCTCCTGTTCATTCATCAGTCTCTCCAATGAATCTTGATTCTGAAACTAATGATGTGTCTGAGGGTAAACATTCTGCTACTCCCTAATCAAAATCAAAATCTGCAAAAAGAAATGCAGATAAATTTCTCAAAGTGGGAAGGAAAAAGTACTTCCAAACCAAAACAGTACTTAGGGGTAGAACCTTTCACCCTGATATACTTTCAATGGATATAGTGAAGCAGGTTTGTGAACTACTAAGGTTTCAGGGGTGGGAGGAGTTTTCTTGAACCTAGTTTGATTTATGATAAGGAAGTGGTAGATTTCTATACGAACTTGGTAATCCTAGAAGGAGATGTGGTTTTATCTAGTGTAAAGGGGGTTTACATTGTGTTTGATGCAACCAAACTCGGGGAAATCTTGCATATACCATCTGTGGGTATAAATGAGTACAATTGGGGTTTTGATGAATATTCTAGCCTTCCATCCAAATTCTCTCAAGGTAGAGTCAATTCTGGGGCTCAAACTGTTTTAAAGGGAATATGAGATGTTTGCATAAGCTTCTTTTTGAGATAGTTCATAAGGTGATACTACCTAGAGGTCACCAACGTCACATTGCCTCCATAAGAGACATGGTACTTATGAATGCACTTGAGTGCAAGGAACGCATTGATTGGCCCACACTGATTATCAAACATCTTGCTAGAATTGTGGATCCTAAGCTAGGTTCTCATCAGTTAGCTTTTGGAAACTTGTTGACTAGAGTGTTTGATGCATTTGAAGTACCATTGGGAGAAGGCAGGATTTTAACTCGTGCAGATATGTTCACTCAAACCATCCTTGCTGATTGTGGCATTCCCATGGAGTCGGAGCAGGTTGCAACTGCGTCTCCACGTACATCTGGTCCTGTTGCTCAGTTACTCAGGGAACTTAAAGTAGCTGAAGAAAAGAATGCCACTCTTGAGTCAGAAAACCAGATGTTACGTGCTGAGCTTGATTCTTCAAATGCTGAAATACACAGGTTGAATGATCAGTTGGTGCAGCAGCAACTTGCTAACAACGCAAGAGTTGATACAGTTTTGGATATGCTAGCTTCTGCTTCAACTAAACCTGGTCAACCTCCACATTAAAAAATCATGTTGTTTGAACCTGGTTCTCTTAGTTGGTTTCGCTCTGTATTGTTGCTCTTTATTTTATTGCCAGAACATTTTATATTGCTCAACTGGCTGAGCTTATTTTGTTGCTATGGATGTTGATAAAATTTGTTTAGCCGCTATTTGATTCTTTTTTATTCGTCAAAAGGGGGAAGAGTATTTGCGCATGCATCACACGTTACACGTTTGTCTTCATCAAAAAGGGGGAATATGATAGAATATAATAGAATCGATAATTCATGTTTTGATTATAGACAAGAAGCGCAAAGAACAGTAGCAAATGTACGCAGCAAAAGAAGTCCAGCTAGAGTCCAAGATCAAGTAAAATGGAGTTATTTGTCAAAGCCAAAATTAATATATTAAAGGCACAAGTTGATACAAATAAGGAAAACCTTAAATATATTATTAAGGAAGGAAGTTGTATATAATAAGGATTGTACTTTAAAAAGGAATCCTTGTTTAAAAATAACTTCCTTACCTTATCTGATAAGGATTGAACAAGGCAAAAGAAACTCTATAAGAAGAGCACGAGGCAGAGGAAGAAACTTGCGACTTCACATAGAGAGAAAAGAGAGAATTATTCATCAAACTGAAGTATTCAAGATTGATAGGTTTACTACGTTTAAAACATTCTTGAGTGAGAAGGTTTTTAACGTGTAGAACTGTTTCCTTGTTTTGTTCTTGATTGCAATTTACAGTTTATTGTACAAAGGGTGGGTTTAGCTCTTTGTAGGGTTGAGTGTTAGTAATAGTTGTAACAAAAGGTGGGTTTGGCCTTTTGGAGAGATCGATTGGAGTCAATCGAGGTGGTAGTAGAGATAAGGCTTTTGATTATTGTGGTGTAATCACAAAATCTTATAATTGAATTAATAAAATGAGGTTTTTCCTTCCTTGAGCGAGGAAGGTTTTTAATTCAATAAGTGTTTGTGTCTTTACTTTAAAGCAACTTACAAGAACCTGGTTCTTGTTCTGGGGTAAGGTTTCTTCATTAACCTTAAAAACATTAAATCAAATTTACGGGACAAATTTCTTTGTCCATAAGACAGTCACTCAACATGAGCAAGCACCTATGATTTAATGAATACACCAAATATGACCTAATAAGTACAAAATATATAATGAAACAAAAGTGCATAATATAATCAATACAATTAGTATATATCTTTATTTATAGAGCATAATGCTCTATGTGTACAGAACTAGAAATCGATTATTTCAACAATTTGTTACATTATAAGAGCTAACAAAAATATCTCCAAAATACGAAAAAGAATAAAATAAGGAATACAAAATACATACTAATAAAAGTGTACAACTCCACAAATTTGCAGATATATTCAATATCAATACATAAAGAACTAGAAATGGATGATTCCAAAAATTTGATATATTAAAAAAGCTGACAAAAATATCCACAAAATACAAAAAAAATTGAAAATATGAAGTATATACTAACTAACGTGTACATTGTCCATAAACATTTTCAAATCTAATCAATATCAATACACATATTGAAATGATTTGAATACAAAAAAAAAACTAAAACTGCAGACTAGCATAAATTATTTGAAAATAAACTTGATCTTTAAAAACTTCAACTTAACATGTAAAAAACTATACATGCAAAAATAATTAGATACCTCTTCATTTTCATCCTCTTCGACAACTATTCGGTCTTCGACATCTTTTTCAATATCCCCATAAGTAGACAAGGATTCTACATTTTCGTTCGGAATTGAATTAGATGAAGATTTGACACACTGATTGGGTCCTGTAAATGTTTTGATCGTCTCTCTTTCCACCTTTTAGTAGTGGATCCTACATTATCTGCTATTTCTTGAGTAACAAATAGATTAAAGTATGAAAAATCGCCAAAAATTTGTTGATTAAGTTGGATACCTCTAGTAAGCCTCTTGGATTCATCAATTGTCGAGTGATAAACTAGATTAAAAAATACATACAATAATTTTAAAATTTTATACATTCAATAAAATCATAAAAGAAATCTAAAAAATAGGATAAAAAAAATAAGGATACCTTAACCAAAGGGATTCTTGTTGATCCAATTACTGAAAAAAATAATCAAAATTTACGGAAGAGAGATATGGGCAACTTGAATTTTAGAGGAAAATCTGAAAAGATAAATATGAGATAGATATTTTTTTAAAAAATAATTGGAGACAGAAATCTGAATATAGAAAGATGGGTGTGAGATTCTTTTTTTTTTTAAAATGAAATAGAGAAATAAGAATCTGAGAAGATAATAAGAGACGGAGAATTTTTTCTTAAAAATAGGAGAGAATTAATGTGAAACGTGTCAATGGGAAATAAAGTAGGAAGAAAATTAGAATACACAAAGTTTTTAAAATAATGACATTTTTACTAATATTTATAAAGTATGAATACTTACACTAATTATGTTATTTATTTTGACTAGTTCACTAGTTTTTCCAAAAAAGAAAGTTAGGATAAAGACAATAAGTCTAAAAGCTGAGGTCGGGTACAAATTAACCCAACCCATTATTAACATACCAACATGAATAAAAGACCTCTTCAGCTAAGAATAGTGTCTCTAGACTTTCCTAAGAGTTGGTTGTTTCCCTTTCCAATGTTGCATGTTGCTTTTCATTGGAACTTGTAACTTCGTCGTCTCCTTCTCTGGGTCACCTTGGTGTTTCTTGGAGACTCAATTTTATTATCTCCAATATTATAAGGTAAGTTTCTCCCATATTTTTCCTTTTTGTTGTTTTTCTCTCCAAACCCTTTCCATTTTGTGCTCTGAGGTTGTCGGGGGTCATCCCAAAGGACCGATATGTCATGCTTGTGCTTATGTTGCTTCGAGCTTCCTGTAAGTCTATTTTCTCCATTTTCCTTTCATTCACCCTTCTCCCTCTTCCTTTGGGTATGCGATGTTGTCCATTCTATTCAGGCGATTTCGAGCATTTGGTTCCCTCTTGTTATGGCACTCCCTAATCTCTTTATGGCTAACCAAGACCGAACTATCCTTTACTTTTTGTGAAGGTTTTTGATAGCTAGAGCATTTAGTCCTAGATAGGTTATTTGTCACAATCTCAATGTCTTCTTCAAGACATACTCTGTTAATATTTTGACTGTGATTTCCTTTTGCTCCCATGTTAGTAGTATGTGTGCGCACTAATGTCAATTGCATCTACTTATGGGTCTTCCTTTATGTACTTTATTGATTTCTTTGAGAGTCTTCATGTGTATTTGTCTTCCTTTCCTTGATTATGATGTTAACACTTGAGCTTTGTCCATGTATACAATCTTTTTCATGTTTGCATGTAACTCCTGAAAATCCATGTACATCTCGATACCTAGTGTTTATCTTCCTTGCCTTTATTATGATGTTGAAACTTGAGCTTTGTCCATGTATACAATCCTTTTCATGTTTGCACGTAACTCTTCAAAATCCATGTACATATCTATTACCTGTGATTCCACCACTTGATTTACTAATGCATCCGCTGAAGTATTGTCTTCTCTAAATGCATGAACAATACATGCCTCCAACAACACC